TCGCCCCATTTGCCATTGTAGTGTTTCAATGTACCATCACAATGCCAACCTACGACTTCTCAGTGTTCTTTCTGACATCACAATACTCCAATGAGCCAATATAATCGCCCACTGTGCCAATATATTGCTCCAACATGCCATCAAAATGCTACAATATAACTTCTCAATGTTCCATTATAACATCACAATGCTCCAATGTGCTAAAACTACGGTCCCAAATATGCCATCACAATGTTACAATATGACTTTACAATGATTCATTGTTACATCACAGTGCTCCATGATGCCATCACCGTGTTACAATTTGACTGCAAAATATACCAATATGCAATTACAATGCTCGAATGTGACTTCACAGTGCTTTAATCAGCCAGCATCTTAGATCCATGTGCTAGTATATTGCTCCAGTATGCCAACTATGTTACAATAGGACTTCTGAATATTCCCTTGTGACATCGCAATGCTTTAATGTGACATCACAATTCTCCAACATGTCAACACTATCACCCCCACGTACCATTATATTGCCCCAATTTGGCATCACAATGTTACAACATAACTTCACAGTGTTACATTTTGACATCACAATAATCCATTGTGCCATCACAATGTTACATTATGATTTCACAATGTTGGATTGTGTCATCACAATCCTCCACTGTGAAATCACAATGCTCCAATGTGCCATTACAATGCTCCAAAATCTCAACACTAACACCACGTGTGACATTAGAATGCTCCAATATGTCATGACAATGATACAGTTTGACTACCCAATATTCCAATGTCACAGCACAATGCTCCAATGTGTCAACACTATTGACCCATGTGCCATTATGTTGCTTCAGTGTCCCATCACAATGTTACAATATTACTTCACAACATTCCATTGTGACTTCTGAATGCTCCAATTTGACATCAGAATGCTGCAGTGTGCCATCACAATGTTACAATATGACTTCACAATAATCCATTCTGATGTAACAATGCTTGAATATGACACCACAATGCTCCAATGTGCCAACACTATCACCCCATGTGCCATTATATTGCTCAAATGTGCCATCACAATTTTATAATATGACTTCCCAATGCTCCATTGTGCCATCACAATTTTACATTATGAGTTCACAGTGTTCGATTGTTTCATCACAATTCTCCACAATGTTACATTATAATTTCTCAGTGTTTGATTTTGTCATCACAGTGCTCCAAGGTGTCATCACAATGCTCCAATGTGCCATCACAATGCTCCAAAGTTCCAACACTAATGCCACGTGTGACATTATATTGCTCCAATGTGTCATCACAATGCTCATTGTGCCATCACAATGGTACAATATGAGTTCATAATGTTCCACTGTGAAATCACAATGCTCCAATGTGCCATCACAATGCTCCAAAGTTCCAACACTAATGCCACGTGTGACATTATATTGCTCCAATATGTCATCACAATGCTCATTGTGCCATCACAATGGTACAATATGAGTTCATAATGTTCCACTGTGAAATCACAATGCTCCAATGTGCCATCACAATGCTCCAAAGTTCCAACACTAATGCCACGTGTGACATTATATTGCTCCAATATGTCATCACAATGCTCATTGTGCCATCACAATGGTACAATATGAGTTCATAATGTTCCACTGTGAAATCACAATGCTCCAATGTGCCATCACAATGCTCCAAAGTTCCAACACTAATGCCACGTGTGACATTATATTGCTCCAATATGTCATCACAATGCTCATTGTGCCATCACAATGGTACAATATGAGTTCATAATGTTCCACTGTGAAATCACAATGCTCCAATGTGCCATCACAATGCTCCAAAGTTCCAACACTAATGCCACGTGTGACATTATATTGCTCCAATATGTCATCACAATGCTCATTGTGCCATCACAATGGTACAATATGAGTTCATAATGTTCCACTGTGAAATCACAATGCTCCAATGTGCCATCACAATGCTCCAAAGTTCCAACACTAATGCCACGTGTGACATTATATTGCTCCAATATGTCATCACAATGCTCATTGTGCCATCACAATGGTACAATATGAGTTCATAATGTTCCACTGTGAAATCACAATGCTCCAATGTGCCATCACAATGCTCCAAAGTTCCAACACTAATGCCACGTGTGACATTATATTGCTCCAATATGTCATCACAATGCTCATTGTGCCATCACAATGGTACAATATGAGTTCATAATGTTCCACTGTGAAATCACAATGCTCCAATGTGCCATCACAATGCTCCAAAGTTCCAACACTAATGCCACGTGTGACATTATATTGCTCCAATATGTCATCACAATGCTCATTGTGCCATCACAATGGTACAATATGAGTTCATAATGTTCCACTGTGAAATCACAATGCTCCAATGTGCCATCACAATGCTCCAAAGTTCCAACACTAATGCCACGTGTGACATTATATTGCTCCAATATGTCATCACAATGCTCATTGTGCCATCACAATGGTACAATATGAGTTCATAATGTTCCACTGTGAAATCACAATGCTCCAATGTGCCATCACAATGCTCCAAAGTTCCAACACTAATGCCACGTGTGACATTATATTGCTCCAATATGTCATCACAATGCTCCATTGTGCCATCACAATGGTACAATATGAGTTCATAATGTTCCACTGTGAAATCACAATGCTCAAATGTGCCATCACAATGCTCCAAAGTTCCAAC